CCCCAAAACCCCAAAACCCCAAAACCCCGCGAGCTATAATCACTGCAATTGTAGGCGGTAAGAATAAATAATTTAAATTGATACAGAAAAGAGCGCTAGAAAATAAAATGCAGGCACAATCAGAATTTACAGCTTAAAATGATCATTAAGAGTCTAGTGATTTAGGAAACGATCAGCAGGAATAAGATATGCTTGATATTGATGATGATATGATCAATATTGGTGATGATGAAGTCCAAGAAAATGAAGATGCTGATAAACAGCCAGAGTAAGAGTAGTAGTAAGAAATTAAGGGAAATTAATTAGATGAAGAAGAATTATTGAGGAGAAAAAAAGAAAAAGAAGCAGCAGAAATAGATAGGTTATTCTAAGACTTTGACCCTAAAAATATGCCATCTTTTCATAATAGTGAGAGTGAAGACGAAGAAATAAAATAAGATAATAATTAAATATAGAAATAATAAGTGAAACAGGGTGCAAATAACTAATAGTTAGTTCCCTAATAAAACTAAGAAGAAGAAGAGGATGATTAATTTGAACTTCTCTGCAATTAGGTTGAGGCTGAGTAGGTTAAGGACCAGAGATAGAAAGATGTGAAAAAGATGCAAAAAAAGCTACAGCAAAAGTATGAAAACATCAAGTAAGAGAAACTCAAAAAATAAGAAACTGAAATGGTTCTTTAAGCTCAAGGCTTGAAAGAGAAGTATACTGGCTTGATTTTTAAAAATAGACTGTTAAATGAGGAGGATGTAGACATATTCACTAGAGCCAGAGAGTTTATTCCTATTGAAACTTTAGACACTACAATATTGGAGAAAGATAGAATTGGGGAAAATAAAAAAGCAACTATAAGGTCATTCTTTTCAATAGGTGTGCTGGTTGATGTGTCAGGACCATTTTAATCAAAAAGTAATAAGAGATATACTATATTAAGAGTAACTGACTTGGTTAAGTATAATATGTCAGCTGTTAAAAAGGAACTGACCAAATTGTATGAAGGGAATCCAGAAGGTCTAAAAATTGCTGAGAAGAGCTTCAATAGCAACGGCTATAAGACTATTAAGCTTATGGCTTTCGAAGATGCAATTGGTGAAACTACAAAAATATAACAAGGGACTATAGTGGGATTAGTCAATCCCAAACCTATGAAAGCCACAGTGGAATATGGCTACTCTTTCTGCATCGATGCTTCTGCCAGTATATTTAGAATCGGATACTCTCAAGATTTCATTTACTGTCCAGGTAAAGGTAATATGACCACCAGTGGATTTGTGAATCCAAATGGTGTCTAATCTTGTAAATACTTCTTGAATAAATCTGTTGAGCCGATATGCGATATCCATAGAAACATGGCTGAGTAGAGAATATTAGAGCGCGTTAGATCTCATAGAAATAATATGATGTCAGAAGCTGTAGACGTAAATCAAGTGACAAAAAGGTTACTTATTGAAGAAAGAGAAAGAAGGATCGGTGCTTTTAATAACAATGGTATGAGGTAGTTTAGAAAGGGAGGAGCTGGCCCAAAGTAGCATCTTTCACCCAAGTCTTAAAAAATTCTTGAAATTCAGAAACAGAAAGAAAAAGAGCAGTTTGATAGCTTTATGAAAGATAGAGCTGGAAGAGCTGAGACAAAGAAGATAGATTTCTTCAACAATATAAGATGCAAAGAAACACAAATGCTCGGAAAAGGCTAGCCTTTAGTTTCTTAGGGAGAAAACGAAAAGCCAACAACGAAGGAAGTCAACAAGTTCATGATGCCTTTCAACAAGTAATAATCAATTAACATGAGTTCTCATAGGACGCAACTGCAAATGTTGAATTAAAATACCCAAAGTAAAGAATCGTTAAGTAAACCACCTGTCAAAGAGGAAGATGAGGATGAATTTGAACTAGAGTTTGTAGGAGGTAATAAATCTTTAGGTGATAAGGGTGGTATACCAGCCTCCACAGCTGGTTTCAGTTTGAAAAATCTACTAGGCGGAAACCTGAAAAATGATAAAAAATCTACATTCTCTGAAAAATTTGGAAATGAGAATAATCAAATCGAAGCAAATAATGCAAAGAGATTCAGATAAAATGATATATAATGAATATAAATGCGGAGTGTTGTTGCATTAGAAATTATGCCGATTGATTATAAATTTGGAATGTTTCTTTGATATTTAGATATAGAGTTAATTAATAAATTAAAAGTAAATAAATTAATCAATTCTTTACCCCTTGCTGATTTTTCTAGCTCATCTGACTCTATCAGCTTTTGCATTGTATCTTATAACAAATTACCTGGTCACAGTTAATAATAGGAAAATCACACCTAGGTTCATAATCATGTCATTTCTCTTGTTGCACAACAAGGCAATTAAACCTTCTTGATCACTACCCTCTATTAATTCTCTTGGATCTTGAATGACATCATCTGGATCAAGGGCATGAGTAGATGAACTTAAAGGTGCTAATTTTTCTCCACTAATAGCTGCATAGACTTCTTCCTTGGTCGGTGCACATAAACTTTTATGCATAAAGAATACTATAAGCAGACACAAAAAGGCCATTACTGCCATTCCATTTGCTGTAAATATTTTCTTGAAACTAAAGTCCTTAACTCCAGAAAGGAATAAAGATTAGACAGAGGTTTATGGATTTGATTTCTAATTAAATACTATTACCTCTACCTCTTTGGTCCTCTAGCCTACCTTGAATTGAGCCTTCAGTCTCATGAATACTCCTAATTTAAGGGCTGTCGATGCCTTTAATAATTATTCTCCTCTTTTTATTGCGATTTCATGATTGGTAATAATGCGGCCTGACTTTGAGTTGATTTCCTAGATCTTACTGAACAATATATGCCAGTGATAACTACTTTGCTTATTAATAAACCTTGAGAGCAATACTCCTGCTAAGTTATCCAGCCTTGGATCTCCTCTAGGCTTTTAATCTTTGTTATCCTTATCCTGAACTATCTGCTTTGGCTTATTAATCGTGTTCTAGTACCAGAGAAGGGACTCTTTCAAACCCTGCTCTATCATCTACTTCGCGCCATCAAATTATGAGTCATTCACCTAATGCTATTTCACTGTGATAATAATCTCATCTATCTTGCTCTTGTCTAACTTTTCAAATTCCTTTTCAAACACTTATTCATTATCTCTAATTGTGGGCACCGATATGTAAGGCACCTCATATAGCAATACAATAACACCTAGTATGTCAAATTTGACCATTGATCCCTTGCTATACTTGACTTGCAACATGTATTCGGTCCCCAACACTACTACATAGTGCTCGTACTTAGCTCTAATCAGCTGATTGTATATGTGAAATAAGAGTTCCTTCTTGAACTTGCCTATTTTCATTAGATCATTCACTTCAAATGACTTCTCCTGTACTTTGTCCTTGTAGTCTGGAAGGTTTATGACATTTTACAAGGCGAATCTCGCTAGGTTAGTCAGGAGTGTCTTTAGCTTTTGAGACTTGATGTCAGATTAGACAACTTTTACCAATTATTAAGACATTTAGAGTTGAGTGTATATTTACGATTAATGATTATTTGATAATTAAAATACTGAGGCCATAAGGTTTAAACTTTTAATAAATACTATGATAAATTATTAATAGTCAATCAATCAGATCCTTCCAAGTTCCTATAAAAACTCAATCATTATGTTGTTTTGTTTTAATTTATGATGTTGCTTCTTCTGCATACTCTCATTATAATTCTCCTCAGTGAATTATTAGCTTGAAATTAAGTTCAAGATATAGTCCTCTGTCCTTTACTCCATATAATTCACATAACTCTCAATATCGATGATTACTCTTTGGAGGTCAAGAAAGTTGCTTGACTGCAAAAGAGTGTTTTCATAAGGCAGCTTAAAGACTAACTTGTACATTATTTTCTTATCTTCATCTACACTAGTGTTGCTGAAGATCTAGGAATTGATGTAGTACTAAAATCTCTTATTCATATACTCAAACTTCACATCTTATGCATATTAATCAATATTTATGAACAAGCTTACTTTTTTGAGAGTCCTTTTTGTCCCAAACTTCTAGCTGCCTCCACTTAACGAGATAATTGTAGTAATTTGGGTGGCTTTGTGGTATATCTCGAATGTCTTGAGTCGGAAGTATCACTAGTTTAAATGCATTTCTGATTACTCTCATTTGCTACCCCTAATAAAATTAAGATAAGGACTAGCTACCTTATCCCCAAGGTTCGCAGATTTTAATTGAGCTAGAAATACCTTCTCCTCTTCTATAAACCTTAGTACTTTTTTATGCTTCTCCTAGCCTTTTTCCCTATACTCCATATTTAATATTCAATTCTTCCATACATTTTGAATCTAGTCTTGATATCTTTGTAGGTTAACTAAGCAGTGACGGGATCAAGAGTAGTTCAGAGTTTGTGTGACTCTTTGAGTAGATCTCTGAATATTGATAAAACTTGTGGCCTTGTAATTTATCTTTATTCTTATATTCTTAATTTTTAAAACATTTTAAATAATTATTGCTATTTTTCTTTAATAAAACATGGTTAAACTTCTACCTCTCATTCTAACACTCTTATCTGCTTTCATGATAAATTAGACTTTAGGACTTGATAAGGGTAAATTCAATAAGATGGAATCGTTTAAAAAGCAATTTTAATTTGATCTTGAGGAAGATGACACTATAGTTAAGGATTCTTAAGATTCAGGAGTGAAGAAATCAGATAATAAAAACAAAGCTTCTGATGACAACACTGTTGATTTCTCTGGCAATCATGGCGGGTCAAATACGGTTAAAACTTTCAAGCCCTATTCATGCTCAATATTTGATAAGTGCCGCACATGCAGTTTTAAGGAGCTACAATTGATGCCAGAATGTTAAGATACAGGCTACAGACTAATTAAAAGATGCATCAAGAGAGACTAGCAAACTGGGGAGATCTAGGAGGACAAATATGTAAATGAAGGCTGTGAACTGTACTCTGGAAGTATTCAGGAATACAATAGCGACTAGGAAGCAAGTGGCGGACAGTATGCAGAACCAGGGTCAGAGGCATATTCTGTGTTTAAATTCATGTTCTTAATGATAGCTTTTGGAGTTGGAGTAACTACTTATCTAAATAGGAGGAAAGACAGAATTCTTCATGAAATTTACTCTAAAATTTCAATTGTTAATAGAAATTGAAATTTATAAATATATGCAATTAATACCTTATACTATTCATTTTAAGTGTTTATTTTCATCTTTTATTCTGCCTTTGTGGGGTTTTGGGGTTTTGGGGTTTTGGGG